TCCTCCCGTTATTTCAACAGCAACAACACCAGCCAACTGTATTGCAGAAGAACACACAACATTCAAATCTCTTACAATTAGTGTACTGCTGAGGTGATGGAAACACGCTTGCAACGAAAAACAATACCTGGTAGAAATCAGCATATGATAGGATAGGGAATTTCTCCTTTATGGGCTCCAGCAGATTCACAGCAATGTCAATGCCATTATTGGCAGCATGACCTAGCTCAGCCTTGAATCTCATGGTCCCGAATGGACCTCCAGTCTTGCTATTCTTTTCAAACGTACCAGCCGAATGCCACCTGCAAGAACAGCACAGCATTTCTGTGATTAAACAGCAATGTGTTTGAACATATTAGCACAAATCCTGCCAAAAAGATGGAAAACTGCCAAGAAATACATGTAAATTAATATCTGTGATGACAACACTGCTAAAGGAAGATTATAAGTCAGAAAAACATCAATAAGAACAAATAACTTTTATCATGCACTAGGGTACTTGAGAAACATGTAAAAGACACCAACTTTAATAAATATATATAATACATATATCAGATTTGGGTGACTCACAGCCGTTGCAAGTACACAAATTCAGGGCAAAGTGAATGTAACAAATATAAACACAGAGGTAAAATGCAGTGGCAGAACACATATTATTATGATACAGGGTGCCAATGACCAAAGGTCATGCACAAAAAAAAAGCAGATTAGGATATAAATTCTAAACAAAAAGATGCAGATAGAAAAACAAATGGATAATTTTAAACATATAGTTACAATTTCAATTGAGTTCACTTCGAGAAAACAATCTAATCACAAAACATTGCACGTATCGAATCAATTAACGTTTCAGGATAATGTTAAAATATGTTCAACATTCATTAACTCACCAAAATCCAGACATAACAAAAACATTTCACAAACCACAGACCGATATATAAAAAACAAAAACAAGGTTATGCAGCATCAAACATCTAACGATTCACATAAAGGCAAAACTCACGCAAGGCGAAGCATGAGCGGGGCGCAGTTTTTCTCGGCGATGAAGCCCCTCAGCTGCCTCTTACATTTCTCAATGGCCTTCAGGTACTCTTCACTCACAGCCGGATAGTTCTTCACCATCTTCGCCGCTAACTGCAAAAGGATCGCCTCCGTCAGATATGAGAGCGTGAAAGAGTTGCATAAGCAGGAATTTGCACTTACCTAAACAATGGGGAGATCGGAAGAGAGATTTTGTAATCGTATAGAGCCCTAAACGTGGGCGTGGCGAGCACAGGCAGGTCATCTTCTGCTTTATTATATATATACAAGGGGAGTGTGGAGGGAGAAATGATTGATCCAATGGTTTGCGTTGGGCGTGGAAGATCGGACGTCAATGATTTGGTCCGATGAGGCCGAATAAACTGATGGGATCTTAAGGGTGGTTAGGGAACTGAAAAAGCGACTTTTATTGATCGAATCGAATGGGCCTACACAAGAAAATGACACTTTGGATATGTTTGGTAACCCAAATAAACTAATTTTTCCTGTTCTAGAATTAAAATAGGCTGCTATGTTGGTGCTAGGGGTAAGCGTGGGTCGGTACGTTTCGGAGATTGATAAATCTCTAGAACTGTACCAAACTTCGGAGATTCCAAAATTCGATCTCCGGAACCGTACCAATAAGTCGGTTCGTTCGGTTCGAAGATTTTTATTTTTCGGTTCGGTTCGGTATTCGGGACTATTGGGGCGGTTTGGTTCGGTATGCTTGGTTCGGAACTTCAGAGATTTTTTATTTATTTAAATTATTCTTGAATGACTACCTAGTTGGATTTTAATTTTTATATGCTTTAAAAAACAACATTCATCAATAATTCATCATATTGAAAGTTTTATTTTGAAATCAATTCTAAAAGTAACTCTAAATTTTAGTTATTTAATTTTTATATGCTTTAATAAAACCAACGTTCATTAGTACTTCCTCACATTAAAAATTTTATTTTAAAATCAACTTTATAAGTAACTCTAAATTTTAGTTATATCTAAATTTGTGCAACTAATATTGAAAATTTAAAATTAAAATAAAATATGATATTTATTTTCTTAAAAAAATATTATTTAAACTTTCATATTATTTTAAATAATTATTTTATAATAGAAAAAAATCAATTATAGATCAAGTATTACTAAGCATGAAATTTAAGTGAAGGTTAATATTTATTGTTATATTATATAGAATCAAAGTTGACATAAAATATATTAATAACACTGTTGATAAAAGGATTTGATCAACTACTTCAATTTAATAAAACGGGAATTAAGGTGGATTTAAAGTTATTTTATTGGTAGAATGAAGAATTCTTGTTAACAGTTACAAGTCGGTTTTTCGGACTTGAAGTCAGGTTTTCATATACTAACAGTCGGTTTTCAGCAATAGACCGAGGTGTTTAATTGCAGAATTTAATGTGTCGGGAAAAGATCCTCGTATTGTGTTTAATTCTGCTATTTATAGTAACTGCTGGCCCATTTTTTGAGGAGATTCGGCGGCATTAAATGCCGAATGACCGCATTGACGCAGCTTTTCCTGCTGGTGGACCCTACGGTCATGATGTCTTCACGTGGGTCGAGATGGGTGATTTGATTGACATTAAATGCGACTTTTGACGGTTAGACGTTGGCTCTTTTACAGGTCGGATCTCGGTTGAAGTCGGCCTATGATGAGGTCGGCTCCCTCAACTCGGCGATTTTTTCCTCTTGTCTACTCGGTGTGTTCTTCATCCTTTTTGGCACGCCACGTGTCGTCGATCCAACTCTCAAGATGATTTTGATGTCAACATAGAGGCCCCTGGCATTAAGGGACATATGGATTAATGGTGTTTCTTGATGCCATACTTCTTGGTGACGTCGGACTCTCTAAGTCGATTCCAACCGAATTCTGGGACTTAAGCGGAATTTCGGTGACTTTGTGCTCGGACATGTTCTCTTTCTGGAACGGCGCGTGGCCTTGCAAAACGACGCGCCCATCGTTATCTGCCTCAGGCGGTTACGCCTTTTAATGACACGTTCCCAAGATCTCTGTTCCCATCGTGACGTGGCGCCTTGTCATTGGTCCGCGTGGTTTTATGGGGGTTGCGCGAACTGCCCCCTTCTTTTAATCGCGACGGTTTTTTACGTCGATTCGTCCCCAACGGTCATAAAAAATTCCATATAAGTACCCTATTTCCCTATTTCTCGGAGGTACGCATCTCTTCCTTTCGATCTTTTCACTTCATCCCCTTACTTTTCTGCTTCTCTAATTTCCGGCATCCCGCACTTCGGCAATTCGATTGTTTCTATGTGGTGAGTTCCCCGACCTTCTCTTTCTTCTATTTCTTGTACTTTGTTTTTACTTCGTCAGGATTCCAACAACGCACGAGGGATGGCGGAACAAGCGGCGGAGGGCAGCAGTAGGACGGTCTCCGACGAGGCCATCTGCGGGGTTGCTTCTGATGAAGAGGTCGACATGGAGTTGGCGCTGGGTACTATCGCTGGGATTCGGTGCTAGCCGAGCGTTTGGTCTTGCGAAGGAATAACCATGAGGGCGACACCGAGGTTGAAAAGGACCTCCCCATCCGCGAGGGCTATTGGAATCGTCCTCCTCGTCGTTGGGCCGACTCCAGTGCGATTTTTCCCCGTGTACCCAGCATAATGCTCGACGCCGACGTGGTGTTATTGAGGAAGTCGGCTCGGATTCCTCCTACGGTAAGGATGTTTGCCCCGTACCCAGGGGAGAGGATTCATTCTCCTCCTCCCGGCTGCGTGGGGGTTTTTGCTGACAGTATAAGGTCGGGGCATAGGTTTCCCCTTCCCAACATGATTACCGACTACCTTCGGGACTGGGCAATCGGTATAAGCCAGATCACTCCAAACAGCTGGAAGAAAAATTTCGGTCTTTTAGTTCTTTGTGTGCAGAAGGATTGTCGTTCCCCTCCATAGATGAGTTTCGGAGCGTCTTCTTCTTCAAGTGGAGCCGGGAACGCGATGGTGTTCCGCCCTCTGGTTGTTTCTTCTGTTCCGCCAAAGCACAGGGCGAGTTGAAAGTTGGTCAGTTAATCACCGGAATCCCGGACACGCTGCATGGTTTCCTGGAGGAATGGTTTTGGGTCGGTGGCGATTGGGAGTCGGCTGACTTTCGTTTGGAGTCGAAAATAGACGGAATGACCGTCCCAAACCGAGCTGTTTCTGCTTATAGTAAGTTTACTTTTTTACCCACCTCGGCATCTCCTAACTGTTGGCTTTTTTTCGCTAACAGGTCTGAACTTTTGGTACTTGTAGCTGAAGAAAGAAGGAGCCCAAGCTAACTGCTGAGTTCGAGGAAAGACTCAAGGATCTCACGAAAGTCGAACCTGCTGATCGTAATTGGCGTAAGTTAATGAAGGAGACGGAGTTGGCGAAAGCCGAACTCTCAGCGCCTCGCCCGTTTAAAACGATCTCCCCCGTTAAGTCAGATTTTTTACTGTTAGTCTTGAGGTTTATCTTTATGCGACTTCCCCCACACATTTTTATGATTTTCCTTGGTGTGGGTTTTCAGTTTACTATCCCATCCTCGATTTCTTCGACTCCAAGTCAATCGAGGAAGCCCAAAACTTCTGACGTAAAGTTTCCAACACCGACGTTCAACTCAAGTTTAGAAAGGAGATTGATATGGGTCGTTTGAAGTTCCTGCAAGGCGTGAAGTATTCTGCTCCCAGTCGAGGTGCTACTGCTCCCGTCATCAAGTCGGTGCCCCCGACCGAGGAGCCTAAGCTTTTCCCGACATTGGATCCTGAACTGATTGCCGACCAGGCCCAGGGGGCCGAGCTTGTTGCTACGACCTCGGTCCTTCCGGGCCCCGAGGTGGGAGAGGCTGAGGAAGTGCCCCCCGATATCCACATCATCGTGTCCAGCGCTGAGGACGAGGGAGAGAAGAAGGCCGCGGAAGAGCCCTCGACTCAAAAGAAACGCAAGCCAAAGAAGAAGCCTGAGGGTGAGTCCCACGTCGTCGGGGAGCGACGGTCTAAGATGAGGCATGACAGTGGCCAACTTTTGGCAGAGAGAGAGGTCCCAGTATACCGAGATGAGAGCTCGTCATACTTGCCGATTGATGAAAAAAGGGTTATTAACCTTAACTTGTCGTCCGAGGTGACAGAGGAGTGGTTTACTCAATTCCATTCGGTTGCATACCCAATATTCCCAACAAGTATCATCAGCCCCCCCACGTCATCGAAGCGGCCAAGACTCCAATGATGGCGTGGGATCCGCTTTCTAAGGCGAGGTTTTCGTCGATGTCCGATGCCTATAAGTTCAGTTATGCTGAGGCCTATATGGGGAGAGCTTTAGTGAGTTTGACTACTGTGGAGGACGTCTTCCGCTCGAACGCCACCGAGCTTGAGGATAAAAAGGACAAAGTGGTGTTGCTTGATGTCCAAATTTCCTCCCTGCAGTCTGAGAAGTCCGGTCTTGAGGTCGCTGTGACGGAGAAGTCCGACCAGCTGGCTGTGGCGCAGGCCGAGATCGCGGCTCTGATCGTCGACAAAAAGCGCCTGGAGGACGAGGTCTACAAGCTGTCCAACCAAGTCATTAAGTCTGAGAACAAAGTTACTAAGGCCGACAACAGATACTTGAAGGAGCGTGAGGACTACCAGAAGACCCGTCGGGACCCAGCTGAGAAGGATTCCGAGCTGATTCGTTTGAAGGAGCTCCACGCATCCGAGGTAGCTAGGCTCGAGAAAGAAAAGACCGACTTTGGGACACTCATGCGCAACTGGGGCATCGAGGTAGGCAAAGAACTTGGAAAAACGAAGTTCAAGAACTCTCAGGAGATGAAGCGCGACATTAAACTGAATACTTGTCTGAATCTGCGTTGGGTCATTGACCGTCTTGATTCCAGTCTGTACAGCGTTGATGACCTCAAGCTCATCCTGCTGACGAAGATCGAAAGGTTTGGTTTCAATACTTCAATCCCCGAGATGCACATTCCTGTAGATGAGGACGAGATGAACTATGTCGAGGGTATATTGAACGAGTCGGACCCCCATGTGACTGCTTCGGCCTTACTTCCTCTGAGCCGAGATAGGCGGGCTTCCCTGAGGAAGGCTTTCATGGACATGATTCTCGAGGGGGAG